TAAAATCTCCTAGTGGTTCACATCTGGGTTCTGTAATTGTCATCTGAAAACAAATAGGGGTAGAAATGACAAAGTGACAGGTCTTCTCACTGGAATCCTATTACCCTATTGCAATTTTTCTGTATTTAAATAATATTGTATTTCTCCCAATATGATCTAAGTCTAAAAAACTTTCATATTCAGCTTTTAAGCTTTGATTTCATAGCCAATTTATTTTGTTTTTGAACACGCTTCTATGTCCTTGTATTTTTTTCCATTTTATTTACTATACCCTAAGTAGGGCTCTGATTTCTCCACATCCCACTTACGGTTACGAACCAAGGGCTTGCGAGGGGTTTGAAATTTGGTGGACGATCCCCCCGGGGCCTGTGAATTCGCTGCTGCTTGCCCTGCTAGCTCGGGACAGATCAAAAGCGAATCCAAGAGCTGCCAAGAATCACACGCAGTGGGTGCAGATGCCGGCATCTCACGGAGCAGCAGCCCCTGCACCACGGTGGGAGATGAACACCACCCGGGGGTGCGATTCTGGGGTCAAATCCCTGTCCTGTTGGAGGGCCCCCATCCCCACATGCCCCACATGGGCTATCAAGTGGCAGATGAGGATGATTCTCTGAGGCTGCAGCACATTTAGGTCGCACTGAACAAACAGAACTGGTCTCCAATCACTCACAATTTCAAACTTTTCCTCCCTGCTTTAAGGCTTTTGGGAAAGGTCAATGGAAAGCTCTGTAGCTCTGTGCTATAGCTGTCCCCAACGTGCTCCTCACGCTGCCCCGGCCTCCCGTTGCCTGCTCACCTAATGGGCATCCTATTTGCCAAGCAGTTCCCAAGGTGGCCAGGATCCAGCTTTCAGCTATCTCACAGGCTGATGACCACAAGCTCTGCAGCACACCRCCAGCCTTCAAGCCATCTGGGCTTCTCCAAATCACGCAAAACTCTGAAACACATTTTAAACTGGTGCAGCAAGCTTTGGAGTCATGTCTAACATGGCAGAATAAATGTGTTTGTGACCTTTTCTGAAGACACTTCAGAGAGGGGGACACATTTCTAAACTTAAACATATCTTTCATGGGACCTTTTCCCACTCCCCTCCCACTTGGAGCCCATAAGGCCATTTCTCATTGAGGCAGGTGGCTGAGAGAACTCCTTGCAGTTATATTTTCTTGAAATGCTCTTAGTTTAGCTATTAGGAGTAAAGCTGTGTATGAAAAGTAAATATAAATGTCAGCCCTAATGGCAAATGCACTCATATCATTGTCTGGCCTCAGCTTTGTAGAAAACTCCAGTGTAACTGCAATCAGGGTCAGGTTTTGAACATGAGTTGAGGGTTAAACTGGAGTCAGTGGAATGGCCCATGCAAGTAAACTGCTTCTGGGCATGAGTTCAAGCTGGACATTGGGCTCCCAAAGAGTGAGACACGGCAAGACGATTGCCACAGCGGCTCTTAGCGTCCCATCCTTGGTTATAAATTGTATTTGAGTGCTCTCTAGTGGAGAGAAAAATTAATCCAGAGGCAAGAACAACTAATCCTCATCTGCCCTGAGCCAAAATACTGTTATCTGGGTGTCTGATGCATTTGGGTCTGCTATAGCTACATACTGCGGCCCTGTGCTGGGTATCTGGGAGCAGAAAAGCAGGTGCCTACTATGGAATGAGAGTACAAACCATTTTTTAGTCCACAGGAGGGACTTATTAAGGAGGTAGGGAACAAKGAGGATAACGATTTATTTAGCAGCTACTCCTGGACCCCTCTGCTCGGAGACAGCCTGGCCASAGCACCATTCTCAGTTCACTGTCGTTCTGAGTCAAAAAGCTCTTGTTTCATAGCGTGTTGACCCACTAGACACATTGGGGGCTTGACTGCCTTAATGTGATGAGAAAGTTTTTAGCAATCACATGGAAGTCAGCACACGATGCAGGTCAGCATGCAGTTTCCTTGAAGGTGCAGCCAGATCTTTAGAGACCAAATGTTCAAGAAGTGTTCCATAATCATATTATTTAAAAATTATTGCAATTGGGATATATCTACATGTGGGATCTACGTTTTGAGTTCTAAGAATAACTCATCGCACTTTCCTTTTATTTCTAGGCAATAAAGACAGCTAAAAGATTTTTGATGATAACTGCTGAAAAGTGCTATAGCAGGGATAGAGGTTACATGAATTTCTCCTTACATTCCTTGTTTAAAACTTGGTTTCTCTGTTACATTCCTGTCTCAGAAAGCTGTTACTTAAGGTTTTCAGATTGAGTTCATCTGTCAGCAAGAGCTCCTTTTACATGGATACTTTCTAATGCTAAGATATCTTGAAATGTCCACAAATGAAGCTCCTTGAACCATCTACTAAGGTTAATACTTGTCATATATGTACTCTTTGTCACTTTCTGGAGACATTTGACTGAAATATTATGGGCCCCCTCATCTTTTGAATGCTTTGAATGTGAAAGAAGCAGCTAAGGGTAGCCCCAGCATCGGCAAAGAATAAAAATTTTCTTAATGATGTTACACTCTTCCTAGTTTTGGTTCTTAGGTTTGTGACATGTTATCCCCAGGTCTCCAAAAGATGAGATCTGCAAAGAAGTCCCACTGCCACCATACCTGATGGTCCAGGCACAGGGTGTCTGATCAAAACGTACGGGCTGCTCTTTCGATGAGCAAGAGAAAAAAAAAGGGGGGGGGGGTGAGGAAGGAAGAAAAAAAGGGAAAAAAATAGGTCCAGAAGAAATTTTCCACCTAGCATGAGAAACAACTCAGAAATGCTATTCTAAATACTCTGTGGTGTTGCTTTTAGAAAAGGAAAGGCTGATTCTCAGGTGCTGCTGGGTCCACCAAGCTCTGCCTGCATGTGACAGGTTGGCTACAGGCAGGTTTGGCTTTTCATGCACCTTTTATGCTGAGATTYCATCAGAAATTCTCTCTTCCCAAATACTACCTGATCAAAGACTTGCTTTTAACAGATGGATTAGTCAATTCATTATTTTCTGAACTTCAGGACTTAGCAACAGAGACATTCATTTTATTTTTCACATAAGTGATACTCTTTAATTGTATGATGTGGGTTATAGGTATTTTAAAAAAAATCTATCACAGGATTATAGAATGGTTGAGGTTGGAAGTGACATTTGGAGATCATCGAGTTCGACCCCTTGCTCAAGCACGGACACCTACAGCACGTTGCACTGCGTGGCATCAAGGTGGATTTTGAGTATCTCCAGAGAGGAGGCTCCACAACCTCTCTGTGCAACATTTTCCAGTGCTCTGTCATACTCACAGGCAAGAAGTTTTTCTTCAAGATGAGGAAAAACAATGAGGCAAATGTGATTTGTGAGTAAATCACCCCAAAAAAAAAAAAAAAAAAAAAAAAAAGCAGCACTTGGACTTCTTTGCATACATATTAACACAGCACACGTAGTCTTGCAAGGTCAAAGGCAAAGCTCAGGAGCAGTGCTGGCTCTGAGCAGAGATGTCCATGTAGAACAGTCACGTAGAACATGTTTTCGTGGCGTCTAAGCAGAGGTTCTTTACACTTCTTCCCTCACCTGAAGACCAGAGCAGTACTGCTTCRCGACCAAGTATATGACTGTTTAGGAGACACTAGTGCTTTTGGTAACTCCATGCCAGGGCTTTCTGAGGAGTAACTCCATGAGAACAAGCCATATCTCAAAAGCTGAGTGTTTTAATGCACCGTGGCAGTGCTGTCAAGTGAAGCTCCTACACAAGGAAGGTTGTAGCTGAAGAGGCAGCTGGGTTGCAGTATCTACCCTCGGTCTAGTAAAGCGTCCATCGGCAGTAGCAAATGAGAGGGAACAAGGAGGATTTAGGAAGGAACTGCACTGTGTTTTATGATATTGGGTTTCTTTTGCCTCTGAGAAGTCGCAAGAATTTGAATGTCCACTCTCCTTGTTTTGTGAGAAACAGAATAACTGGTCACTTCACTCAGTCAATTCACTGCCTTCATGCCTCCCATGATTTTAGAGACTTCCAGAACATTCCTGACCCCTCCATCTGTTTCTCTCCAGAAGCAAAAGTCCTAACCTAGTTATCGGGCCGTCACCTGGAAGCTGCCTCAGTCCTGGGGCATCCATCACTGGTGGCCACGGCAGGGCCACCGCGCTCCCTGCCTTTTGGCATACACACACATACTGTCTTAGCTGCTGCTTCATTTCCTCTTCCTTTTCCTCTCCTTCCCAGTGTTTCCGTAGATTTCTGCTTTGATATCGAGCTGCGAGCAGCAAATAGCACCAAGACGTGCCCTGAATGAAGCTGGTTTTTCCTCAGTGTAGAAGAACCGGCACCTGCACGTGTGGGTTATCGCAGGGGTTGTGGGTGCCATGATGGCAGCAGAGCAGGTAACTGAACAAACGAGGTGCTTCCCTTCCAAAATGAACTTTGGGGATGCGTCTGCATGCCTGAGTGACCCGATTTCCAGGGAACCAGRGATTCCTGTTATCTCCGCATGGCAGCGCAGCCAGGCCGGGGCGGGCTCTGGCTCTGACGTGTGGTCCCGGGGCAAAGGTCTGCCCCGTGCTTTGCTGCAAAGGCACCACTGCTGCGCCGTGGACAAGGCACCCGGCAGCCAGAACCGTTCGGGATTATTTTTATTAAAGTTAATGCTGCACAGTGCTCTTGCGCTAGTTATTTCAGGCAAATCCAGCAGGGGAATTGGTGCGGCTCGTTTCCACACAGGAGGAGAGTGTATAATTCTTGCAGAGACTTAAGGGAAATGCTTTTATCCATTAGGAGTAAAGAAAACAAAAATAATAATAAAAAAATCTGGGTTTCGTTGCCAAACACTTATCACAGCGGTGTAGTCGTGGCCGAGTGGTTAAGGCGATGGACTAGAAATCCATTGGGGTCTCCCCGCGCAGGTTCGAATCCTGCCGACTACGGCCGGGACTTTCATTTTGTGCTCCCTTTCCGCGATCCCTTTTCTGCCCGATCCGCCCCAAAGGCGAACATCCGGCGGGCGGGCCGGGCCGGGCCGGCCGGGGGAGCCGGCGCCATGCAGCACAGCCCGGCGCCTGCCGCGCTTGTCACCACCAGGTAACGCGGCGGAGGCGGCGGCTTCTCCTCGCGGAGGCGCCGGGCGGGCCCCGGCCCCGGCCCGCCGAAATCAGCGCCCGTGAGGGCGCGGAAGGGGCAAAACACGGCGGTCACAACCTTCCCCTGCGCGTTCGGTTGTTGTTTGCTCTTAAAAACAATCCTAGGTGTATTTATTTTCTCTTAGTTTCCGTGCGAAGTCGCGGGTTTGCAGCGTGAGGGGGTCTGAAATGGCGGGGCGCCCGGTGCCCGCGCTCGCCGCCGGGGGGTGCCTTGGGGTTACGTTGGTGGTGTTTGCTCTTTGTAAATGCTTTAGGTGGGTCAGAGTTAATGAAATCCTGCCTTGGGAGTAAAAAGAGTGCAGAAAATCCCTTGGGTTTATAATCCCCGCGGGCGAGTGAAATCAGCTGCTCCCGATCGCGTGCGTTCCCGGTGCCGTGGCCAGCGGTGCCCACTGTGCCAGGATATGTGCAGAAACGCTGGGTTTGGGTGTTTTTAAGCTGTGGAAACGGGTGTTTTCCTATGCTGGGTGAACGGCGCTCCAAGGAAGCGCGTGTGGTGGCTTTTATAGAGAAGTGAGTGACTTATTTCTTTATTTGTTTCCCCTCGAGTTGTTTGAGACCACGTGATCCGTGTTGGCCTAAACGCGAGCGACTGTAGCGCCGATTCACGGGTCAGGAGCCGTGTTCCCGACTCCTGGGGTGTGAGCTGAGCAGAGCCGCTCCCGCCGTGTTGACGTTCCCGGAGCGGGAGAGCAGCTGCTCCCATCCTTGGGAGCATCCTCCATGCTGTGCCAGGGCCGCGGGAAGCTCCGTCCTGAGCCTCCAAACGCTCCCGGCCCAACTCACGTCTGCGCTTTTGGGGGCTACTTGATGCCGCCTTCTCGCCCTAGAAATGTTTTGCTTTTCAGCTGGAAAACTTTGCTCCTAGAAAACCATCTTACCAATAATGCTTTTGGGGATAAAATTGGATGTACGTGTGTCTGCAAGTGAAAGGCTTTGGCAAATAAGTTGGGTTTTTTTTTTTTTTTTTTCAGTTTGTGAGACAAGATAGCTGGRTAGTTGTGTTGGGAAGCAGAGGGACTGTTTTCCTTGCACACACAACCCGGCAGTGGTTTGCAGTAGTTGCTGTACCCACGTGAAGCACTCKGGATACGAGGATACGAGGGGGATACGAGGAGGGATACCACGTGCCTCGGTGTCCCTTGAAAGTGCAACTTGGAGATAAATGAAACAATCAAATGAGGAGTTGGAGCAATAAACCTATATGTCCAATATCAATAGCCCTTTTTTTCTCTTTCTCTTTTGAGCTACCAATGTAGGGAAATTGTGCATGCTGCGARAAGTAGAGCCAAGTGACTCTCTGTCTTGGCATTTGTAGCTGCTGCGTCCTTTGGGGTAACAGCAATAGTAGTACGGTAAGAATTAAGACTCAGGGGATTGCTTATTTTGTAGCTAAAGCATTACAAGAACTAGAGTGTGCCTTGGATATTATCTGTCTGAGCTTCCTTGCTGATTTCTTTTGGTTTAGAATCGTAATTTCCTATTAAGAAATGAAATCATATGTCCTGTTGCTGTGGCAGAGATGGGAGTGATAGACTTGCTGTGAGGGAAATGACACTGAAAGCCCTCAGGAGGCATGTGGTTAATAAACAAAAATGTGGCTAATTCTCTTCCTTCTGCACTTTTCCCAGACACTTTAGTTGAGACTTAACAACTTTAAAATAAAAATCACCAACATAAGTAAGGTATTTCATGACATTTGCAGAACTCTGATACAGCAGCACTTAAAATAGAGTTGAGTGGTCTTGATACATTTGCACCTGCTGGATGCTTTACGCTAAATGAGGCTGTCAAGTTGCTCCATTTCGTCTAACAATCAACTATTACATATTATATAGCAAATAATTCTTTTTTTTTTTTGGAATTGGGAGGCCAGAAAGGATGGCTTGCTGGTTTTTATTTTACTTTATTTTATTTTATTTTATTTTATTTTATTTTATTTTATTTTATTTTATTTTATTTTATTTTATTTTATTTTATCTCAGAGGTAAAAAGCAGAAGAATTTGTACTCACACCCTAATAGGAATGACAGTCACTCCTGACTACCAGCTGACACACTCGTTCATTGCCTGTCAGAGCTGCAGTCACAACTTTTGAGTGACTAAACATCTGCAGGGCGTTTTAGCTGCTATAGATACATCCCAAATAACCCCACATCCAGCTCTCTTTCTGGCAGCTGCCCTTTTAGGCTGCATTTTGGTTGCTGCTGAAGGACACGGCTGTCACTTCTTAGGGGTTCAACATGCCCTTGTGCAAAAACACAGACAGTATTGCTTATGTATTTTAAAGATAGCAATGTATTTGTATATATTTGCTGTTGAGTCTGCTTTTCCATCCTGGCAGTGTGTAATTTGGTCTCTTGGTGCAAAGATAAGTTCTTGGTTGTCCAAAAAATTAGGGTGGAATTTGAGCAAGACAGAGTGACATTTAGGTAACTAGTGTAAAATCTTGGTGACAGTGAAGCTGTTGTTAGAGCTCTAATGTTCTGAAAAACATGGTTTGCAAAGAGGATTGGATAAAAAATTGGGCCTGTGCCCTTGATTGTTGCCATTTGATTTATTGAGAACTCTCTGGATATTCTGTTAAAGTAATACTTTTTACTTAGTTTTGYGTTGAAGATTCAGAGGTTGCCTTCTTGGGAAAGCTCAAGTTTCAAAAGAACTTGTCAAATTTTGACATGATGAGAAATGTATTTTGAAACTTTCTTTGAAACTGCATTTTTTAAATCCTCTTCAGAGTGTATTTTAAGCCCACAGGCCTAATGTACTTTAAGGTGAAAGGAAGCCTTTGCTAATGATTGTAAATGTCCTAAGGAAGATGYGAGAATTCCAAAAAGTACCTCTGTGACCCACAGAAAGTCCAGGGAAGAGGGAATTTGACATTCCCAATAACTCAAAGGTTTTAAAAAAAAAAAAAAAAGAGCAGAAATGTTTAATGAAAAGGAAATTGATTTTTCTTCAGTCCCTTCTGATTTCATTAAAAACTGTTCATTCACATATAGGAAGGAAGCACTTAGAGATRCATTCAGAGAATATTTAATGCTCTGGATGATAAACTTCTTTCTACTTCTGGTAGGGTATTTGGCCTCACTAAGCATTGGTAAATGGGCTGTGGCTTGGCATGGGCAAAACTCTGGGGAAAACATCACTGATTGGGTTTGGTTTCCAGTGYACTCAGTTTGTTTTGATACAATTTATTTTGATAAACATATCCTTCCATTTTGCCACAAAAACAAACTGCTCCTTCATACCCTTGGCGTATAAATCGTGTAATACTGTCTTGGCATTCCTCTCCCAGAAATGCCATCACTAATTCCTTGCATGGGAATCCATAGGGGAGGTGAGTCCACAGCTTGGTGGATCTAAAAGGGACAGGAGAACAAAATGCACTGAGTCCATCTCAGCAAGGCAGCTCTTCATGTACGTCTTGTCAGCCTTTTAACACATGTGGAAGAAAGGTATATTTTAACTTTTTACAGCCAGTCCTTGGGAAGCTAGTGAGTGAGGTATGGTGGTCTGCTCAGGTCACTTATCTGGCTTTCTTAAACCTGTGGCAAGCGCCCTTTTCTAAAATAAATGTTTAGTGTGGTAGGTACGAGTATGCTGCTGAATTTGAGCTGCAAGAGATCACTTTGCYACTTTCATATTTGCTTGGAGATCTTGCCCATCTGGTTTGCTTCCAATCTCCATGGAGCACTCCTCCAGAGAGCACAGGGGGCCTTTGAGTATTGGGCATTTGATGTTGGATACCCTTCCTCTCTTTGCATYGGGGGTTTTTATCTAGTTCCCAGGTTGACTCTTGCAAGCCTCAAGTTGTCCCTGCATCCAGGCTGGCTCCTTTCTCCTGCCATTCCTGCAGATTTCTCCTGATGAGAGAGAGATGGGTGGCATGAGTGGTCGCGACAGAGCTTTGCTTCATAGGAAGCCACTGAAAGAGGTTATTGTGCCCTCCTGGTCTGCCCTGCTGGGTAGTACMGAGTCCTCATCTCCCATGAATGAATGAATTCCCTTCTTCAAGAAAACCACCCCATTTTCTGCTTCCGGAGACAGTGAGTTCATGGCAGTTTCTCCATCACAGCTTTGTCCACAGTGGCAGATGTTTCGGAATAGAATATAAGAAAGGCCAAGTCCTTTCCCTTGTTCTGTCTTCTTGACTGCCARCCCTTAGTTCCACTCTCGATGCCTCAGTACCTTTGAGAACGTCATCACCAATAAAGGCCTCAGACTGAGCCTGTTTTCGGAGCTGCCATTTTTAAGCCCTCAATTAAAAGCAAGCTAAGCCTGTTTTTCAATTTTGATGCTGAGAGTGGTAAGACATGGAAAATATATGCTTAAACTGAATGTGTTSATTGAGGCTGTAGTTGTGCGAAAGCACTATGTACAATTTCTTCCACGTTCTGGAGGGTGAGGTCTGTGTAAACTTGTATCCTTATAAAACAGTGTCGGGGGCTGGATCTGTGTCTTTGCATTGACTTTCTGGAGCTCTGAATTAGATGCTTTGAGAGCATCAGTTAGAAAGTGTTCGTATCAGTGTCTAACCTCTGCATGTCCTTTCCTCCCAGGCAAATCCAGAACACTCACACGGGGCTGGATTTGTCGGTGCCGGATTACCAGGAAGTCCGTGGGAAGATGATGTCTGGCCACGTCGAGTATCACATTGTCGTCGTTACCCGACTGGCTGCCTTCAAATCAGCAAAGCACAAGCCTGAGGATGTGGTGCAGTTTATGGTAAATATTTAATCAGTGCTGTGTTAGAGATCCCTTTGCTTTCTTTCTTCCGTTATTAATTAGCTTTGATTATTTTGGTCCTGAGGTAAGAGATACTTTGTCATCAGCCTCCCCTCTCGAGGTCCTTTATAGGACAATGCAATCTGTACCGTTCCTGTAATAGCAATATTATTCTTGTATTAATTGAACTTTTCATTTCAGGAGCTCAAAGCAACATTGGCTGTTTGTTACTGCCCTTAAGGCTTCTTGCATTATGGGTGCAACAAATAGAAAGTCCTGCTGGAAAACTAGTTTCTCTAATGTATGTTTAAGTGGTAGGACTTGGTACATAAACACGAAATGTGAAATAAATGTTCAATAGTTCACTTGAACTTGAATGGGAAGAAAGTGACATGGAGAAATAAACTGGCCCTGGCCCTGGCTGTAAAAGGGCATTTGGGTGATTTTAATTTATACCTGCTTCTTCAGTGGGATGGGGCAGAGATGGGCAGCAGAGCAGGGAATGTGGAACCGCTTTCTTCTGCAGCCCTGCCGGCTTAGGCTATGCAACTTTTCCATATTGCTCTGTGCAAGAGAGAACCAAACTAAAAACAGGTAGTTAGCTACCTACTGTCATCTAAACAGAAAAAGTAGGTAAAATCATCTCTATAAACAGGGGAAAAAGTCCTCATGGTGCCTTAGTCCTCACGGTGCCTTAACTACTTGCTGAGGTTGTCTATCCATATATYTTTTTATCTATGTAAGAATATTTTTCTGCAGTTATTTGCTCTTCTCAAGTGAAATGAACTTTTCCGATTTCTTTTCTGATTAGACCTCCTGACATTTTGCTCTTTGTGAAGAAGCAAACTGTGCTGCCGTCTGACAGGAATAACATTTGTCTCGTGAGATACATTTTATTCAGCTGACAAAGTCTGAYAATAATGCTAAATAGTTTTTGGTATATGAGAGTAATTTAAAACTGAACTGAGAGGTTGGAGGATGGATGCTTTGCATCAGTTCATTCCTCTGAGTCTTTTCTATGTGTATTACTTGGAGGAATGGAGAGGTTCACCTGTCCCAGTTTATCTCTYTGTGAGATGGATATTTTAATCTGAGTCTGTCACTACTTTTATGGTCAGTGGCAAGAAAGGGAATGAGGTGACTCATCCTTTGAAAATGTCTCTCCCCTTTGACAGTAAAGGGAGCTGCAGTCTCAATTTTGGGCATTTGGGGTGGAGGGGCTTCGCTCCAGGCTGACATATTTAAGGCTCAGTTGAGTTGCACGCAGCTCGTTGTCTAGGCTGCATCTGAGCTGTCCTGGAGTTTTACACCTAGATTTGGAAGGTTGTGGCTGTCCTGCAGGTCCTGTGTGGTGTCTGCCTGCCCCACACAAGTGCCTTGCATACCCCAAGGCATCTCAAATGCCTGTGTTTGGGCAGATCATCTGGTCTCTGTAGTTAGATGTCTGCACCTGCTGCAGATGGCTAAGCTCCCATCCCCAGTGTATTGGGTTGAATCCCCTGTGTGCCATTTTTGGGGTAAGCTGAGTTGCTCTCACATCTCACCAAGATGACTATACCTGTCTAAAAGGAGAGCTGAGATACCTAGTGTGCTTGTAGATGTGTACATGTAGGTATCTGTCTTAGTCTGGAGATCAGCCTGCACCCCGTGGCCAGGTGAGATGCATGTGAGGTGCCTCTAGACGCCAGTCTGCAGGGTAGCACGAGAGAGCAAAGCAAGCAGGGCAATGCCAGGAAAGGATGAGGCATGAGGATGATGTGGAATTTGAGTAGCAAAGGCAGGAGGATGTTCTGCCTTCCCAGGCACGGAGCAGAATGGCAGGGGGCATCAGTTTTGCTGCTACTGCTGCTATAAAGCCTGCGCTATCGGAGGAGGAAGCAGGTGTCATGCTGCTGAGATAACAGGTTGGAGGTGATCGGAGGGTATTTTCACGGGCTCTACATAACGTAGTCCAATTTGGTGACCTGAGGAACCACATACATTTCTTTGGGGAGCCTCTGCTTTTCTTCCTCCCACTTTCCCTCTTTCTCCACCAGAAACAGGAGTTAACCACAGGTCCCATTCCGAGCTGCTCTCTCGCCCGCTGCCCTTGGCGCTCTCGTGCCGTAGGTGGCAGCAGAGAAGTTCCCATTCTGTGATTCTGTGACTCTGATCTGCAGCTTGGCTGCGAGCACGGCCGCTGATCGAGCAGCTTTCCTGTGTCCTCTGCAAAGCAACTGTGAGTGAAACGGCCCCTCAGCCAGCTCTGTCCTCCGGGCCCCCTCTGGACCACACTGGAATGAGGTTTGTTAAGGGCCTGTGACCAAAACTAGAGAACAGCAAAAATAAATTTCACCTCAGACTTGTGAAAATTTCAAGTTGTGATGGGACTATCACCATCACAATATTTGCAGTTGAAGAATCTGAGGCATTGGCAGAAGAAAATCACCAGGACARCTTTCAGACCTAAATTCTTAGAAACTGGATGGATTTTTTTTTTTAATAATAAATGTCATTTATAAAGTACAGCAGGTGTATTGTAGGATTGTTTAACCTTGAGGTTATTTTTGATTAATTGAAGGAAAACTCAGCTGTGTTTCTTTCAAATATCAGCATCCTCTTGCCCTATTGAAAAAGTGGAATTGTTTTATATTGAGACCATTTCTGTCAAGACCAATTTTTTATTTTGAGACTATCAAACAAGATTTCAGAACACTAAGGAGAGGAAAAAGGTCTTTGCTTATCTTATATGCATTTCTTCTAGCCATACCTCACATTTTTGGTAAATAGCTTTACTCTCTTCCTGGCTTTATTAAGAATCCACTCATCCTATAGTGGCTTTTTTTTTGCTATGTGCCCGATATAATTGCTTTGTTTAGATTTGTTGATTTTAAATTACATTTATTTTTCAAATCTGGACTTCTRTTGTTTGATAGACACAGCAACATTTTAGGGGGGTCTTACTATGGACCTTTCCTTCTCCTCTAAAATGAAGGAGGTATGTGGCTGGATGTACATCTAAGTTATGATCACTGCATATTTGCATATATTTGCTTTTCTTTGAACCTAAAAATCTGTGATAGTTGATAGTTCCTGGCTGCAGTGGTGAAGATAAATTCCTCCTTAAGCTGACCATCGAGTCCAGTACAGGAAGAATGGCCTATGATGTGAAGGGGGGTGGAAATACTCCCTGCTCAATGTAGCAATTGATTTGGGAGCCACTAAGAATTCATGTTAGTTAAAAAGAATTATGTGAGTGTTTGCTCTTCTGCTGGGTAAAACAGGTGGGGAGAACAGCATGTGCTCATGGAATGAAAATGTAGCATAATACACATCCAGAAGGCCACCAAGCAGCATTGATTCTGCTAGGGCTTAACTGGGTGCAAGTTTGAGAAGGGGTGATTTTTTTATTCCTGTATCCAAAACTGATAGTTGTTTTAGCAGGTGATGCTCTGGTAGCTCCCTTTTCTGACAATGTTAAGAACTTAAGAAAATTAAAGAAAATACAGCTATTTCTATGAAATGCTATAAAAGGAACGACATGCTTCACTGCTGTACATGGCTGGCCAAGGGGATTGGATTAGCTTTAACTGAGGCCTCCACTCAATTGAACTCCTTGCTGTGAATAAACAGCACATGAAGACAAGTTAGAGGTCAGAAACGGGGCACGGAACGGAGGTATCAAATCCCATTAATGCTGAGGGGGATCGAATTCTGTAAGGCACATCTGAGAGTCCCAAGCTCATATCCTACAGGCATTTTGGCGTGTGTACTTCCTGCATGGGGCTTTCATGAAAGAAGGATGCAAGGCACAGGCATAAAATCTGAGGGATTAACAGCAAACCTCAAGCTTTCGCTTTGAACTTTCTGGTGGTTTTCTTAACCTTCTATCTATTTTTGATCTTATTCCACTCCCTTATCTGTTTCTAGTACAAAAAAATAAAAAACCCATCCCCAACTCTATCTCAATTGCATGTTGAGTGTCAATTGTTAAAGGCAAATAGGGTCTTGACCTGGCAAATATGCACTTGCTTCACTGTATTTGCATGATTAATTCTTTTGAAGTGAAGTAGATAGGGCCTTTGATATTGCGACTTGACAGAACTCCCTTGAAGTGAAGGCTTGCAGCAAGTGGGGATTTAGCTCAGTGTCATTCACACCAGCTCAGTTACGGGCAAGGAAGGGGGTGAATAATTGCGTGATCAAAACCTAGAGGAATTACAGGTAACAGGAGAAATGCTGCTCATTGGCTTTTTTCCTGGAAAATCCTTAGAGGGCCTCAAATTGGAAGTGTGGGAGATTGTCACAGTGGCAGCACTTCACGACTGGAAAGATGGGAGACTTTCTATGGATGAGGAGCAGGACAGGGCCCAAGAAAACGCAGCCTCTGGGGCCTGCTCGGCTTTGGGAAGGCCTTGGGGATGTCTCTGTGTTAGTGCCTTTAAATGGGAAGAGCCCAGTGCATCCCGGCCCAGGCACCTGAATCCGCCCAGCCTTCTTGGCTTGGTTTTGCTCCTGGAAATGTGGCAAAAAAAGGCAGCCAAGCAAGGGGGAAGACAAGGCATTGGCAGCTGGGGACGGAGGCAGTGGGACAGCATAATAGCTTTGTATTAATGGCATGGATAATACCTCCAACGGTGGGTTATCCCAGCAGAGGGCATCCCTGCACTGCTGGAAATGAGGGTGCCGGGTGTGTTAAGGCTTCCGAGTAGCGTCCTGGGATATTTGGGATATAGTATCAGCACACTCTGGATACTGTCACGTGGGTTGTGGTTGGGAATGGTTGGCCAAAGCCCACCCGGATTCAGTGTGGCTCCATTAGTGAGGGCATGAGAGGGTCTGCGTTTGCTGTAGACTCAGTGATGTCATTAGGCATAAACTAAGAGTTATGAATGTTTTGCAGCATTTGATAGAGGAAGAATGAAAATTAAGAGAGAAAAGAAGCTTGTATATCACAGATTGGCTGCTGACTTGTAATGCTTTTAGACATTAACTTGTTATTACTGCAGTTAATTACATATTAAACRCTTTTTTTTTGCAAATGAGACTCGATTATTTTTCTGAGCAGATGATAATAATATTGCTTATTCTTTGGCAAAAGAGTGAGTGAATTCCTCACTGCCCTTACAGTCTTGCTCACTTAGTGTGGTTGGAAGGGGCTCTGGTATCATGCTTCATGGTGCTCCTGGGAGCCAGCAACCTAGAGATGGACAGAGCTTCAGAAATTGCAGGATTTGCCTTGTGCTTTGTTTTGAAAGGAAGATTGTCTTATCCTGGGCATCTCTCTTTTATTTCCATCACTTTGCTGCTTGGCCACTGAATTGTTTCAGATCCTGCATGCAGAGCGCAGCGGGGCTCACGTTTGCTGCAGTTCCTCACGGGAGGCAAGTCTAAAATTAGGGTTGTTCATCCACCTGTCAACTCGGGTTTGTTTCCATGCCTCAGATCTTGGGTAGAGCTGCTTGCTGTTCTTTAGGGCTGTGTCTAGTCTAGTAAAGCAGGCTCAGTGTGGGGGTTACTGCCAGGAGCTGCTGTGTGCTCTGGAGGCCGGGTAGCAGAGCCTGGCCTAATCCAAGCTATTAAACTCTCACCATCCACAAACAGCAGTCCTCAAGCTGGCTACTTGTCTCTGCACTGGCCTAAATCTTGGACTTGGAGCTACTTGGAACAGGACTAAATCCTGGACTTGCAAGTTACTTGGAAGAGTGATAGTTGTCCAGAGCCAAAACCATGCCAGGGCAGTTAGGTTCAAGTAAATACTATCAAAGTCCTGTTTAGCTTGCTAGTATAGAGGTAGCTTATGCATTTTAGATTAATTTGTTTGCTCTTTTGTCTTTATACTTTTGGCTTGACTGTCTTTTATCACTGCGTTGGTGGAGGAATTCTGCCTTCTTCCATCCCAAGATGTGGTGTTTGGGTCTACCTTGTGTGTTGTAAGCACATTCCACTAACACTGTAATGTCAGTGCAATGTTACAGGAGAAAGACTGGATCTTAATAAGAATTTTGTTTCCTAAGTACTCTAAAGCAGTATTTTTTTTGATCTGATTTGTGTTCAAACACATTAATTTGAGGGTCAGCCTTAGGGAGCCATGATGAATAAAGGCAGTGTATAATACCATGGTCACAGAGCATGACAGTCACTCTCCGTAATGCCTATAATGCCAATTACAGTGTTTGGTTTGTTTGATTTTTGTTTGTATGTGTGTGTGTGTGTATATATATATATTCCCTTTTTTTTTCCTTCAGGTGTCCAGTCTGGAATTCAAAACTTAGTGCAGCACTGACTCCACCTCATTTCTAGCTAGTGTTCCCATGGATATTGCTTTCCCTTTGCTTTCCTGGGCCACATTTCTTCTCAGACTTCCCATCTTTACCTGCAAAAGGAATGGCTCTGTTGAAGGATGACTGCTGTCTTCTCCTTGCATAAGAACCTGCAGTTCACAACCAAGTTTGTTGTTATTTTTGTTGTTTTTTTCCACCTACCTCATGGGTAAACTAAAGAGTCTGAGGTCAGTTGAGGTGTGTGTCCTAGTGTCTATGTCAGGTGCTGAGGGCAGCAAATGTGCCCGTTCATCAGACCTTAAGAGCCAGAGGAGCACGACAAGCCACCAGGACGGAGAAATCTATCTTTTGGCACCATGGTGAAAATATTCCTTCCCCTTCCCTTCCTTCACCTTCCCCTTACATCTTTTGGGGCTTGGCATCAAGTAGCTCATTTTTACTGCACAGGAGTTTCTGCTGTCAGAGAAATACCTGGAGCTCTGATCTTCCCTCTATTTTATTAGCTGCTGACTCGGACAAATGGACTGTAGGTATCTGGCAACAAAATTCTGTTTCATTACAGGAGTGGATTGTAATAACTGAATTAGAAAACAGGCAACAGATTTGGAGATGCACTGTGTAGATACCAGGCTTTTACCAGGCCATATGTGGAGCTCCTCGGTAATACGTGTTTTTCCAGTTTTGTGTCCAGAGTTCATGTTTCCCTTCAGTGCTTAAACTGCTGCTTGATGCCTGTGTCTTCCCCTTGCCTGTAAAGAAACTCACCCATGCAGTGTGTTTCATTGCAGGTTTCCAAGAAGTACAGCGAAATAGAAGAGCTTTACCACAGGCTGGCAGCACGGTATCCACAGGCTTCTCTTCCACTTTTGCCTAGAAAAGTTCTCTTTGTGGGGGAATCTGACATTTGTGAGCGAAGAGCAGCGTTCAATGATATCATGAAATCCATCTCGAAAGATGAGCATCTAGCAACAAGTCCTGAGTTACTGGAATTCTTAGGTAACTAAAAGATGTGAGTGTCCCCTCTCCCTTGACCATGCTTAATAAAAYGTTATTAAGTTCCTAGTGAAAGACTGGAGAATGCCAGGGTAAAGGCTGTCATTAGAAACATTCCTTTGCACATCTGCACAGTCATGAACTGTGCATGTGAAAATACTGGTGTATTTTCCCCTGCCCCTCAGAGGGCACATGCTTCGTTCGGAAGGATTAGTTCATGGTGCTGACTTTGAACATACCCACCTCAGGAGCCCTGATTTCTGTTAGGTGTTCAGCACATGCTCTGGGGATCCCTGCTTGAGCAGGAAGGTTGGACTAGATGATCTCTAGAGGTCYSTTCCAACCCTAACCATTCTGTGATTCTGTAAGCTGAGATTCAGAACACCCAAGTGCAGAAGTCTTAAATAATCATCTATCATCAGTGGAGAGATAAACCCTAAAAGAACAACACAGGAGCTCTCTTGGTGAACAACTACTCTGTTTTCTCTTTTTTTTTTTTTTTTCATTTTTTGTTTTGTTCCTAATAAGACTGCTAAGATTTTTGACTTAGAAAAATATTTGAAAAACAGACTGACGGTCTGCTAATTAAACCTATTCTCTCACCTCTTTCCTCCTCCTTTTTTTTTTTTTTTTTTTTTAAAACCTCTGGCCTCATGACTGCAGCAATTTGTTTCTCCGTGCTCCTTAAGCATGACAGGGAGTCACTGAATGAATGGAGCAGATGGGCTCTCTGCTCATAACCCAGCTGAGAACTGCCAAGCAGTGTTGGTTTTAAGGAGGTGAATTTGCAAGGTGCTAGCAAGTCACCATGTGTGAAATTGCAAAAGGGTCAAGTGAGGCCAAGCTAGAAGTTTTATGAGACTGGCAAGGGCACATTCTTGTGACCAAAGCTCTCAGACACRAAGCTCACAATTCATAGCAGCTTCCTACAGTCCGAAGGTGGGTGGAATTGCATAATACAAGCAAAATGATTTTGCCAAATAAACTTAGGAAGCTTTTTACTTTGTCTTTTTTTTTTTTTTTTCCTGACTGCATTCTCTTGAAAATAACCCTGTTAGACAGAAAAATCAGGATTTATCTTACTAAACCCTTTCTGGATATCGTGTAGATTTCTACAGCTGAATTAGCCTGTCAGTGGACAAACTTGTACAAATAACATGACCTGTTCATGAAAATCTGTCTCAGAGTAGTATGAACCTCACTCTGTAAACGAGATGGGATTCATCTTCTCACTCACTTRTATGTAAAGATAAATACACTGTAGATCTTCAAGCTGGTTGTGCAGACTTTCTTTACAGACAGTGGAGATACAGTCAATATGTTCAAGAATGTTTAAGGAGAACCCACCTTGCAAAATGTGGGTGTCTACATAAGGGTAAAATATGAAATGTCCTGATCTCCACTGCATAACCTGCTCAGCACTCCATACCTATATGGGAGCACAGGCTCAGTTGCCCAGAGTAGGTGCCCACATTTAGGCAGTGAATTCCCCCCTAGATAACTAGGCTGATGCAGACATATAAACCTGCATGAGATCCATCTCCCRAACAGTGATACCCTGAGATGAATCCCTGATTTTTTTTTTCTGTCATGATTTTCACTTGCCTATTTTTAGCTGGTTTTACCATTTTAAATCAGTTTCCTAAACATCCAGAGACACCACATCAAGGAATGGCTCTATGTTCCTTATTCTGSGTTTTGCATATAATTAGGGCAAGAAGACTTAGTCAAAGTAAATCTTTTCAGCTTGCTCCAAAACTGATGGATCTTGTATACTGAAGAGAGGTAAAACTTCAGAGTTTGTTTGGAAAAGCATATTGAAAAGCTGCCATGGAAACTACTTTTCCTATAGCCCATAAGAATTAAAGAAAGATGGGCTTTATCTCAGCTACCTATATAAAAGTCATTTACCTACATTTAAGCGTAGTATTTAGGCCCTCTCTGTAGCCAGTGGAGAGAAACAGGCACTTTCAGAGGGAAACTCATTCTTATCTTTGGATGAGTAACCATCTGGAAACTATGTTGTTTCCATTGACTATGGAAGGAATGCAAATAAGCAGTTTAGACATATGCTCCTCTGCTTTAAATAAAGTTCATTTCCTCTGTCTTTCTCTACTTAAATACTTAAAATTAGTGAACAAATTGAACATAGAATAATGCATCACTAGATGCAAGGGACTGTAAGGAACATTGAATGAGTTTCATATAGTTTAGCTCCCCAACCAAAATAATAAGAAACAGGTGCAATGTATTAAGTAAAACATGCTGTTATGCTGTGTAYTCAGTTTTGCTTCTATCATTGTATTTTGCAGGAACAAAATCTACTGGTGTCATTGACTTCAAGAGTAAAAACATTCCTGATGACAAGGACAAAGAAGATGAAGAAAATGAAGTATTGGATTTCTTCAAAGAGGAGAAGAAACCTGATGTAATCTCACAGCTTATGTCAGTGAAAAATGCTGAAAAAGGGCACAAAATAGAAGAGGAAGAGCAGGAAGAAGACGAAGAAGCTTTAGACCCTCTTGGTATAATGAGGTATGATTGACAGTGCCTTTGTTATATAGTTTTTAGCCCGTAGTCTCAGCTCCAGTATGTACTTTGCTGGATACTGAAGCATGCAACCACAAAATAGAAAGCTGACAGATTTCATTAGATTTGTTTCTCTGGCGCTCGCCAGTGTGCGTGCAATGTCTGAAACTTGCATCTAGAAAGAGGTGAAGTTAAAGCAACGTAAAGACCAGATGAATAGCATTTCAATTATGACATCCACGTGCAACCTTTCCTTTTCTTCTTCCTGTATCTGAAGAGATGACATGCCAGATGCCTCCAAGGCATARGCAAAAATAGCTTGAGAACCAAAATAATTGAATCAAACCTTGCTGAAGCTGGTCTCTGGCTTTGCTTACCTGTCCAATAGTTCTCAGACGATTATTTTATTCACTTCCTGTTGGAATTTGTCATTTTCCCAAGCCACCTCTAAATATAGAAGCCTGGAAACAAGCTTARTTTCTTGGTGACTGGGTTTATGAGTACTGGCTACATTTTTAGGGTGTCCTAAGCTTAAATGACCAAAGAAAAAGGCTTTATTGTTCTTAATCTTCAGCAAGCATTGAAGTTACCAGCATCCTCTGATTTATACTTTTTTTTTTTTTTTTTGCTTTGGACCCTTCCAGTGCTTCTAACATTCTCCTTCATAGCAATAGCCAGTAACTGATAGGAACAAGACAGAACCCTCTCTTCATATTTACTAATTACCTTGAATCRTTTACATAAGGATCATTCATCCAAGGTTGTTTTCTAAGCCTGAGTCTCCCACACTAAAGTCTAGGTCAACCTAGGTCTTCCACTAAAGTTCTAGGTCAACCTAGAATGATTAATACTGGAAGCACCATTTGGACATTTTGCATGCTGTATAATCTCATGTAATGGTTGCCTTCCAAATTTAATCTTTTGTACTTAAGGCTTTTCATCCTTTCCATGTTACTAGAAAACTTTAAATATTATTCTTTTGACAACGCATGTGCTTAATTACTCAACATCAAAATTATTCCCTTGTTGAAGAAAGATTTTTAAAAAGTTAAATAACTATTTACAATGAGAAGATAGATAAAACAGTACTTCCCGCAAAGTGGTCCTTAGTTGGTAAGCTTACAGAAGAAGCTGTCCTTTTTTGGATAGGAAAATGATCTATTGAGTTAGAAAATGCAATGTTGTATTTTCCCACTTCAAACAAGTATAAGCTGTAAAGAATTTGCCATGCCAAAACAAGCMAGAAGTTGGCTTTTCTGCTCTGCAGTTTGACATAGCACTTGAAAGTCTGATTATTTTGGTGTTTTAGTGCATTGAAGGTGAACAGATCTTGTATGTAATCCTCATTCAGTTTATTGCTTCTATTCTTCCTGTGAACATAATTCATACTGAATCAGAGTAACCTGGTTTCAATAAGAGAGTCTTTACTGATATGGAGTTGCAGTACAATGCATGCAATAAGATTTCTTCTCCTTTCTAAACCCATGCTTGGCTATATTAAAAAAAAATATATGATTTTTTTTTTGTGAATCTCACAGGCAGAAATGTGACAGTGGAAATGGGAATCCTGAGTCTGATTTTACATTTTCTCTATACTCATCTATTTAACACGGCTTTCATGGAAGATATTCCTAATTCCAATCAGTGGAGACTGATAGGACTTAAACACTTTTTCCCAGCTTTATGCTACCTAGTAATAGGTGTCCAGGTGAGAGGCAGAAGATTGAAGTCAAGACGTCCTCAGTGTGAGGGTGACAGAGCCCTGGAACAGGCTGCCCAGGGAGGTTGTAGAGTCTCCTTCTCTGGAGGTCTTCAAAACCCGCCTGGATGCCGCCCTGTGCCCYGTGCTCTGGGTGTCCCTGCTTGAGCAGAGGGGTTGGACTAGATGATCTCTAGAGGTCTGTTCCAACCTCAACCATTCTGTGATTCTCAGTGGATGGGCATCTCTAGGGTCTATTTTAAAGTGTCTTCTATGCCCATTACAATCATAGGTGCTGGCCTGAAGAGGGAGTTTACATGGCTGACAGGTTCTGTGCTTCAGACATGGTTGAAGGGAGTTTGAACTGCAGAATAAAGTGAGTTGACACAGGCTAGATAAAGATATTTCGTAGTTAACTTCTTCCTAATACATAGGACGGGGTGTTCCAAGGGTTAGTAGTGTCGTCACCCTTTGAAAAGGCCATTCAGCTGGAGAAGAACAAAGAAACAACCACAAAAAAAGCTTCCATGACCCTTTTCCGTTGTGAAAAACATTTGAGAAGATGCAAAGTCAGCAGTGCAGGAAGCCAGCCCATTGCCAGCRCCATCAGTGCCTGCGGTGTTTTGAGCAGGAGTTCAGACCTACACTGAATCATGCATTTGGCAGAATCTTACAGCTTTTTCTTCCTTTTGGATGGAGATGAAAATGACTCTGGCAGCACAAGCTCCGTGCGTTTTCCTTGCACCTCKTTTGGAAACAACTTTCTGCTCCCGGCCCAAAAGGCAGTGACTTGGTTTTGCTCCAGCACTGTCACGGTGCTGCTGAACCACCACATACACAGTCAAATACACTGGCTAATACAGCTAAGTAGGGTCTTTTTTAAAAAAGAAATAGGGTTTGTCTGCTAAATAAATATTACTAAATTAGGGTCTTTTTTGTATTACTGTTGGTAATCCACATGCAGGCTCATGATGGCCTGGTGCCTGCTGCCCGGAGGAGATATCCCAGTTGTTCAAATTCCCATCTCCACGTTCAAGGCTATGTCTGAGTTGCTTTTGCACGTCTGCTGGGTGACTCACTGGCCAGTTTGGTGCTCTTGTGAGCATAAATGGAGGTCAACAAACCCACCATGTTTCTCTGATACATGATCCTTAGGCCCAAAAGCTTGCTCTCTGTATTTGCAGAGTGCTCCTGAGCCATGTCTTAGCAACAGGAAGGGTTTTTTGTTTGTCCCTTGCCCAAACTCAGGGACATTTCCAAAACCACACACACACAGCATGTCACAGTGTGTGGTTTTGGAAATGTATGTGCCACAGTGTGGCACTTTCAAGTTCCCTTGCCTATGTTTAGCTCTTTTGTGGAATGGAAGGTGCTCAAATTTAGCTCTGTGGTGCAGTGATATAATTCAAATGAAATATGATTTCTGGGAATGACTTTTTTTCTCCTTGTCTCTTGCTTCCATCTSCATAGTTTGGAGTTTTGTTATTCTGATGTACAGTTGCCAGCTGCTCTGCATTTTTTTTCTGCACATCTGTAGAAATCCCTTCATCTTTGGACAGAATTATGCAGGTCCTGTGGGAATAACCACTCCTAACACTTTGTAACCTGGTCCTTTGACATCAGCTGTGTCATGGAAGTTGAACATAGTATACTCCTTGCTGTATCAGTGGCACATTTTTAGCTCTGATCCATTTTTCTTTAAACAGTTAAAATCTCTTTAATTAACAGTTTAAATAGTTAAAAATCTCTTTCTCTTCTGGTGAACCCTTTGAATATCCCTTTGCTGAAAAGTTAAAATTCCCTTATGGTGTGAGCTCACCCCACACATTTCACCCCATAACACAGGCAAAACATTAGGTATGTTATATATTGACTCATCTTTTCTCCCTTATTGTTCTCCTTAAAACAAATGCAATACTACTGTTTATCAATCTTTTTAGATCCATGTATCTCAACATTTGTAGGTAGGTGTTTTTAAGTACTTACCAGACTATCATAGCACTTTAATAACACATCTAGGTTTTTAGAGAGGCAGTGTCCTTTAATGGCTGGCTCTTAAAGGACTTCCCTGGCAAGGGAATTCTTTGATTCTGTGATTGCAAGGAGTTCTTTACCTGGAATACCTTCAAGGATAAAAGAAGCAAGAGCAGTAGATCCAGAAGTGAAAGGCATCCAAGAGAGTCAYGAGGTAGAGGAGCTATTTTGATGATACTTCCAAAATTTCTGCCATGGAAAAAGATGTAATTTGGTGGTTGTTTGAGAAAAGTTTTGCATGGCTTGAGGTGTATGAAACCAGATCCTTTTATCAGTGCTAGTGCATTAACCAATGCCCAGGGCTGTGGTCAGAGGCCAACAGGCTCTGTGTGGCCCTGTCGAGAATGGTGCATTCCCCATGCTCCAGGTTAGGTCTGTGATTTCCAGACTGCCCCCTGGAAGTGGCTGCTGGCCCGGGCCAGCTCCTGGGCTGTAGTTGGGACAGTTTAGGAGAGGGCTGGATGGCTAGTCCTAGGGGAGCACCCGAGGCTCTTCTAACAGCTGATCTGTAGCACTGGTTTTGCTGGTGGTCATAAGATGCCTGAGCGTGACCAAGTGCGACTTTCTAGCTCTAAATCTTACAGCAGCTCGATTGAAAAATATATCAGGGGAGCTGAATGAGCTGGGTTTTGTCTCTTACCTCTGTGGATGAACTGTGCAGTTTTCCCCTTTGTAGGGCCTTCAGCATCTCTCTTCTCTCACTTGGTGTGTAACACCGAATTTAGTACCTGCCATCAGTTTACTGCAAGAACCCGCAGGCCCCAGCATCCCTGAGCAAAGCAGCACTGACTTTTTTTGCAAAAGGAACAACCCAACGAGTACCCAACGAGTTAAAACACACAGCAGCCCTCCACATGTCTTTTTATAGAAATGATTAAATTTTGAAGTAATTGGCGTTCACCAGCTTGAAAGCACCCACCTTTTCCTGTACTTTCCTGCATCCATCAGCAATTAGCACCCATCACGACAGCTTCTTTACACGCGGCCTTCCCTCCTTTCCGTCCTTTTTCCTTTGCTGCTCTAAATCTTTCCAATGACTGCATATCCATATCCTCCCTCAGTCCTTTTCTTTTCCTGGAAAACTGTACGGAGGGAGGAGGTCGGTATTCCYCGAGCAGAGCCCTTCTGTCTCCTCGTGCATCCTTGGCAGCTCTCGCCTCCGCTCTGGCCTTTGCTGTTGTTTCAGTGGATTTCCCCCCATGACTTATCTTCATCCAGGTCTGTGCACGTGGCGAGGCTGCAGCTTTGCATCTGTGGTGGGTAAACACAAACG